GGATATTTTTCTATTGTCTCCTCTTTTTTCTTTAAAAAAAAAGATTTAAAAAAGTTATATTACATAAAGCATGCATTATGTCTTATGCAAAAATGAATAAAACTTATTTAGTACAAATATTTTGAACTTGTTGGTATCCACAATTATCTATAAATTTAATTTAAAAATATAGCGTTTAAATTTTTTAAATTTCCTCTTTTTTTTGAAAAACACACCTATCTTTTTTATCTTCCTATTTAAAAAGTACAGTTTTTCATTTCAAGGGGAAAAATGTTAGTAAATTTCTTTATGGGAATTTGAAATTCGGGAAGTTCAGATATCTGTTTAAATAATGAATGGGCAAAGCAGCATGTCTATGGAATGCAAATGTTTCAAAATTTTCGTTTTAATATTTGTTTAAGCAAGTTTGAAATATGACGGTAATAAATTCTTATAATATTTTGATGCAATGTTAGTTACATCCCTTGAATATAGGATACAATTAATCCGCAGAACATTGTGCTTTAAATCGGAACAGAAATGAATAGACAAAAATACGGTACAATGAGCTCGATTCACAAAAAGGCGCCACATATTTGGAATCAAGTGATGATTTTTGAAACATTTCATCGTGTTTCGCTTCACTGTAAGAAATTCTGAAACTTGAGCTGTTTACATTTTTTGCATGAACTTTATCTCTTGTTATTTATTTGTCATCCTTATCCTTGTTTAATAATTAGGTAGGAAGTAATTTAGTAATTTTTCTTGTTGCATTTTTGTTTTAGTTTAGTATATTTGTGTTATTCTGTGTTATGTACCAAGCTTATTGGTGGTGGTTACCGTGGGTAGCATAGTGGTTAGAGCATCGGACCCCAGACCGGAAGGCCTGGGTTCGATGCCACCAAATACCCTCCGAGTGCACACGGAGTACGTGCACGTTAAATTAGTGGGTCCGTAGTCTTGTGGGCTTATTCATTAGCGCAGGAACTGGAGAATATTTCCCTCCCCCTTCAGTTCACTTGAAGAAATTGTGGAGGTGGAGATAGAGGTCGTGTCGCCATCTATCGTCCCTTCGGGGAAGTTTCACTGAGCTTAAATTGCACTGTCACCTGTATGGTGCTCAAGGCCAATGACAGGCGTACCTCTTGCCCATGCCACGATGAATTTCGTGGGCCTCGTTCTGACTACGTCAGACAGTTGGCATTAGCCACAACAACAAAAACTTACAGAGTTTTATATACACTCAGGAACTTTGAAAATAGCGACCCAAGAATAATGCATCGGATTGAAATGAAATTTAATACACATAATGACACAGATGAGAGATTCACTTGATCACAAAAACAAGACAATTAAACGAATAAAGGGTGTGCAACGACACAAATACTGGGCAACTTCAATAGCACGTTGGACTACCTCCAGCTGCAATACATGCCGCCACACGGTCCGGCATTGAGTTGATTAGACACGTTATGTTGTCCTGAGGCAGATGGGCCCCACAAATCTTGAACAGCCAACTCTAAATCATGCACAGAGTGACACGATGGCATCTGCCGTATTAGCTGATCCCACACGTGCTCTACAGGGGACAAGTTGGGGGAGCGAGCAGGCTAAGGTAGAGCCTGAAAATGACGTAGGAAGCTTGAGCAACTCTTGCTGAATGCGGACGAGCATTATCTTGCTGAATAATTGCTCCTGGGAGACCATTTAGGAAACATCCTACATGGGGTCGAAGAATATCCTCAACGTAACGTTGACCCGTTAAAGTTCCACGCATCACAATTAAAGTGGACCGGCTATAATAGGCTATGGCCCCCCAGACCATTACACCAGCTGTGCGGGAGGTGGGACGTAGAACAGTGTGGGGGAATTGTACCGCTCACCATGGCACCTCCACACCCGTACACGGTTATCCTCTGTCCCCAAAACAAACCGGGATTCATCACTAAATACAACCTTTTGCCAATCTGTGACATTCCACATTGATCTGGCTTGGCACCACTGTAGACGCAGTTGCCGATGTTCCGGTGTTAAAGGGAGTGCACGGAAAGGGCGCTTGTATTTAAGATTTGCTTCTGCAAAGTGTCTCGAAATTGTTTGTGGAACAAAATTCCTACGCCTGCGTCTGCTCGTATTGTTGAACGAGTCACTGTGGGGTTCACAAGTGCTTGCCGTACGATCCTTCGATCCTCTCTCCTCGTGGCGTTCCTGGTCGCTCCAGACCCGGTTTTCTACGCGTGAGTACCTTCTCGTGTCCACTGCTCCTAACAATTTCTAACGGCACACTCCGAACGATCCACCTGGCAGCAACACGGCGCGTCGACCAGCCTGCAGTTTTCATCCCGATGATCAAGCCTCTCTCAAACTCGCTTAACTGTGAGAAATGTCTTCTAGCACGTTTACCTGGCATATTTCGCTTACCAAAGTCTTCCTACAAGCGGCGGGTAATCGTCACGTTTATGAATCTTCGAATTTGCGCTGGCTTATGTAGCGCCATCTCGGCGTGTATGAGCATGCGTATTGGCACAAAACTTGGATCATTTGCATATCACATTACGCTGTACTTATTTGCAAAGTTTTGCGATTTTACTTAGCTTCCTTCTTGGGTCGCTATTTTCAATGTTCCTGAGTGTATTTGGCTTTTTTAAAATTTATTTACAACAAAAATAAAGCTTAGAGTTTTAAAAATATTTACAAAAAAATATTTATTGTCATCAACCCAAACAGATAAAATGACATTGTAAAAGAAACTAAATCAAAATCATTTCTTAACTCAGAGATTAAATAAGTAATAAAAGGTCACACAAATTATGCAGAATTGCTAAAAATTTTCCCTTTATATATATATCATTAGGTTTATGACAAAAAATCTTAAATTTTTAAGCACCTAATAATTTGGCAACTAATGTAGTAAACAACAAATTATAAAAATATTTTTTTCTTAAAAGTTTCTGCGAATTTTATTTGCTGTAATTTGAACCAAATTAAAAGTATTCAAATTATTATTATTTTTTTCTTTTTAGATAAAATAAATTTACAAAATTAAGATTTGAAATGGTCTTCCCTTGTTTATAAAGAAATTAATAGCAAAAACTAGTCTTTTAATACGTTACTGAGATGAAAAATTAATTCCCGATGAAATAACAAGAGAGCTGAAACTTCTACACCACATAAAAAGTTTTAAGAACAAGATATATTTTATTTCCTCATTATTCCATATTAGATTGCTTAATAGCAATCAGCTCACAAAGTAAATAACGACATTTTCCCCTTTTCTCTCAATTAATATAATCTAAATTCTATTAGAAAAATTAATTACCAGGTTCACAAAAAATGCACATAGTAAAAATACCCACAAAAAAGAAATTTCATAAAAGTTTTATCTTAAAATTCGTTGATTTAAGAGGAGGGGTTATTTTATTCTCCTCAAAGTAAAACAATTAAAAAAATCATAATGTATGCAAACATTATGCACAACCATTTTAATTTTCCAAAAATAAGAAAAAAAATTGGCAGTTATAGAGATTGCCGATAGAAGTGACAACTTAGAAGTAGCGTTAAAATTTGAAATTTCAAAATGTTTGATTTAAAATTATCAACATCAATCTGGTTTAAACATCTATTGACGCTCCGAGCAACAACCCGTATTTTTGTCTGAGTTTTGGGCCACCGATTATCCGTCACGTCGAATAAGATTTATAAAAACGTTTCTGTCAATAGAAATTGGTGTTTCGCTCATCGGAATGAACGGCGTTATTACGCCCTCGTCGCGCAGCCGTGTTCTCATTATTCGATCTCGGATGGTCCCCGATCTCTTCACAACTCCGAAGCGTATTTGTAAAGTAGATCGATCCAGAGTGCATTTGAAATATCTCAAATTAAGTAAATATTACCTAAAATCGTATTTTCGAGAACACAGAACAGCACAGATTTATTGCACGAAACAAATCCCTACTCGGGGTATCTCTGTGTTTTCTCAAAATAATGAACTGGAAAACAATAGAAAAGTGTATTCATTTCTTTTTGTATGCGCTCCTGTGTACAATTCTATGTGCTCGCCTCCATCGGGGTGTCGCATTTCTCTTGAAAAGAAATAAGATTATTCGTTATATATATATATCAACAAATATATATGTATATTGTCTGTAACATTGTGTGCAAATATTTTTTTTAAACATATTCGTTTCTAAGCGTATACGTTCCATTGCATTCGTAGATGTGTTAGATGCATTAAAACATAGAAAATAGAATAACAGAACTTTTAGAATACACAACCTGTTAAAAATGAAGTTTGAAAGCTTTTTTTTTCGTATTTTACTAATTGCTATATTCAGAGACTGGTGTAGTTTAGAGGTCAAGATCACGGACTCGAGCTGGTATGTCATGAGTTCATGTCTAGAAACGCTGAGGACCCGTCATGCATCGCGAGATGATGCACGTCACATATATCGAGGCTCAAACGTCCTCCCGTGGTTGTGGTGTGGAAGCTAGGGAAGAGGGTGCCAGCACAGGTGTCTTCCTCGTCACCAAGGTTCAAAATTACGAGGTACGTCACCAGTAGCACTCGTGCAGCTTTACAGTTTGACATAATATTTACTTTGACTTTAAATTGCGTTATTTCCTCTCACAGATCCAATTTTTAGTGATTAAGTGCATTAAATATAATTTTTAACGCAAGATTAATCTCAGATGAGATTGATTGATTGAATATTAACGTCGCACTGTTCAGCTACACGAGGGCTTTAATCTCAGATGAGAAGTAAACGATTATTTATTATGCATTATATGCTTATAACCAAAAATTATACGGATTTTGTTTGGTTATTGAAGTTGTACTTCCTTTGGGGCGTTAGGGAAGAAGGATGAGGGTAAGTTTTTACAATGCGCACGCACACCGTCACGGATGTGACGCAAAACCTTCACGGATGCGAAAATGCTTTGTCTTGAAATATACAGAACGGGACGGATCATTCCTGCTCTCCAAGTTATCAGAAAAATATTTCTCTTCACTTCCCTGAAGAAGGGAGCACCCAGGTTTGAAGCAGGGACCTCTCAATCAGTAGTCGAATGCTCTACCAGTGAGCTATGCCCCGCATCAGCAAACCTTTGCTTTGCGTTACGTAGGAACGGATACGAAAACGCTTTGTCTAGAAATATACTGAATGGGACAGATTTTTTCCACCTTCGAAATTCTCAAAAAAAAAAAATAATAATATTTTCCTTCACTTCCCTGAAGAAGGGGTTACCTGGGTTAGAACCGGGAACCTCTCGACCTGGAGTCGAATGCTCTACCATTGCGCTATGCAACCCTTTACCAGCGAACCTTTGCTTTGCGTTTTGTAGGAAGGGATACGAAAATGCTTTGCCTAGAAATATGCAGAACGGGACAGATCATTCCCGCCTTTGAAATTCTCAAAATAAATAAATATTTCTCTCTTCACTTCCATGAAGAAGGGGGCACCGGGGTTTGGACCGGGGACCTCTCGATCTGCAGTCGAATGCTCTACCACTGAGCTACATACAGTCACGGATACACGCGCATACCTTCACGATACCGATGCGCGTGCACACCCCTTTTTTGGTGCTATGGGACTAATATTTGGGGAATCATAATAACTATTGTTACAAACCATATCTGTTGGAACGCATCCTTCCTGTGCATTACTCCCCCCCCTCTACAGCTTTTGACTAATATCTCGGCACCCAAGATTCACAGTATATTAGGACATGGTTCATTCAATCCCTCTCTATCTGATCTTCCAGTTATTAGAATTTCATGCTCATAGGGCTATTTCTTCCGTAGTTTTTAACTGTCTTAAACTTTTTAAATTTGTTTAAATTCTCAATATCTTGGCTTCTGTTAGAGTCTTGGACTTAAGATTTGATCCAACTGTTCCACTTGTCGAGACCCATCCGGTCATCTACTTCATTCCCATTGTGTAAGCATGGACAGGGCTTAAGCACTAAAATATTATGCTCCCATGTTAATCCTATGAGGATTAGAAAAAATTTCACCCCCCAAAGGAATTGAGCTAGGAACTTCATTTTTGTTGGTCCCCCATATTTTTGTATTAGCGCGAGCTTTAAGTGGAATTGTTCCCCTCGCACACTACAGGGCTTCCCCTGAAATAACTCGAATCCTTCGCCACGTTGGTTGACCGCACCGGCTGGATTCGATTGTTCTTCCTATCACCACCCTTGATATATTTTTTCAGGGCCATAGCCTTATTTCTGTTCACCCATATTTAAAATTTATTATTTTAAAGTTGTCGCCCATCTAGTATGGTAGCTATGACCTTCGGCTTGTAACCGAATGGGTTCGGGTTCAAATCCTGAGTAAGACGTGGTTGTATTTTCTTCGGGAAAGAAGTCGGTCTTTCGCCTGAAATAGATTCCCGTCTCGAAAGGAACAGCAGCACACCTCTTCTTGTTATATGCTGGGATCATCGTGTGTAATAAAATATGTATTCTTCTGTGGTTGTGTTATATGTTTCTGTTCATCTATCTCACGTCTTTCGTATGTATTCCAGTAATAAACACACAGCAACAACATTATTTTAAAGTTATAATTTTTTAAAAAAAAAATCCCGCATAGCTTCCGATGATTTTTGAGAATCGTTAATGAAACTCGTACCATAGGTTCTCCTCATTGAGCCATTTCATCTGTTTTAATTCGTGTGTAGACAGTGGGCTTGGGGAGAGGCGTTATCACTAAAATTAGAATCCCCATGTTTTTCCTATGGGGTTCGATCTTTTGATGACGTAACGATATTAAAGAGAAAGAAGGATGAAACTTTGGGATTACCTACTACTCTGTATATCGTTAGGATGTACGGGACCATTTACGTCACAGTTGTCCCCTCCCCGCGGGAAGTTAGTTTCGTATTCCTTTCCCGAGCTAGCATCGCCGCATTTGCAACTAGACTCTGGACCGGTTCGAATGGATTATTTTTTGTTTACTCCTAACAAGGTCCAGTTTTGAGTTTATGGGTGTCCTGCTTCATTTTATTTAATTATTTTAATTTTTTAATTATTTTAAAACGGCCATAACTCGGGGGCTCTTCAGGCGGATGTCTTAATTTTGTCGATAACGATTCTTTCCGTCGACACAATCAATATGAGGTCTCAGGTGTCACGTTTCGTACAACTCATCTCCAGGTACAGTCATCCGACCCCCTCCCCTGTTATTGACCCTATTGTACCTGTGCGGGGGTGTTTAAATTTATTTAAATCGTGATTATCTCGGGTTTTGCTGGACCGATTGACTGAAGGTTAAAGTCGTTCAACTCTGCTCGTGACCGCCTTTCTTCCTTGGCCCAGCTTGCCCTGCTTAAGATTTTTAGAAATATTTGAATCTTGTAACGCCAAAGAAGAATAACTTCTTACGCGCGCGCGCGCGTACGTACATAAGTACACACGCACGCTTTTTTATCATTGTTTTTTAATATTTTTTTGTTTATTTTCATCTTTTTCAAGTGAAAATTTTTTCTCCTTTTTAAATCGAACAAAGTGCTTAAGGCAGGTCAATATTTAAATCGAAGTTCAAAAGACCGATTCTCTCTTTTATCCTCTCTCGCATCGCATAAGATATATTAAAACAAAACCTAAATGTAGAAGTACTGTAACGCATGTGCGTGCGAGATCTGTAAGCATGAAACGTTTCATTAGTCGAACGAGTGGAATGAGCAAGCGTTGCATCTATAGAAGAGAAATCATCGCAAACATATTTTCGGAAAGTATAATGGACTGAATTCATGTGACGTCACGATCACATGATTCCCGTGAGCTCTTTTGCACCCGCATACGGCGTCATTTGCTTACGACTATTTTGCTCTTAAACTCGTATAGTTATTTATTCTTTTTTTACGTTCAGAAATGACACGTAGCACTCCTGTATCAAATAAACCTTCCAGAAAGAGTTACGCATTCCAATAATTAGGCCGACAATATGAATTAAATGTAAACAATTTGCTATGTGTTACTGTAACTGAGCTGTTTATTTGGATTTATTAATTTTAATTTCCATTACTCAAATTATTTCTGCTTGATTATGTTTTTAGTTCTCATAGTTACATAATTATAAAATTGATTTCAAGGCCAATTTTTATTAAATAGTTATTAAAAACCAACAAGGGTATAGATTTTCAAATCCGTAATAATTTTTGTGCGCAGTAATCTATGAAACACTAATCACTTAAAACGACTAAAAAATTTTAAAAATTGGGCATTTTATGAGTTTTAAAACTTAAATTCTTAAGTGAAAAAGAGTGAAATAAGATGGCCAAACTGAGTTTTTGCTTTCAAAATCAACTTAATATAATTTGATAAAGCATGAAAACATTATTTTTACTGCTACTGTATTGAAACATTTTTTTGGAAAAAGGGTACTATTAAGTTTTAAAAACAAAGTGACTTATGCCAATTTAAAAAACAAAAACAACTCAATTACTGGAAATTATTTGTTAGGTCTGGTTGTACATTTTTTCTTGTTTTGAAAATTCTTATTTTTTAATTCTGCGGCTGAAATATATTCAATTATTTTTATAACCTGAAAAGTTTGTGGAATGTCTAACACAACATTCTTGTGAATTTTTGTTTTAAATTCACATATTTTTAAATAGTGCTATTCATCATTTAAATTGTATAAAAATATATTTGTTTTGTCTACATCAGACACATTTTTAATTTAATTGTGAATGGATATATTATGCGTCTATTAATTTATATGTGTGTATTGTATTCTTTCAATCTAGTTTGCATTTCCTTCTGCTGTAAAAATAACTCGTTTCATCAATGCATAAATATTTATTAATCAAAAACTTTCATATTAACTCTCCAATACGAAATAAACAATGGTTGAAACAAGTAAACTTTTTTACAAGTATTTTGGAACCATCAATTTATAGATAAATCATACGTTAAGTCAATAATAAGAAACATATATTTAAAACTGAGGATAATTAAATTGCATTTTTGAAAATTACTGCGCCTTTTTCTGATGAAACATTCCCTTAATATTACATAATTCTAAAAAATTAGATCAACATGTAAAAGGCACTTGATATGAAGAAAAAAAACATTGAATGTGCTATTAAAAATTGTAATGTAAATTTTTAATATAGCTCATACTCGCATTAATTTTAGTTTGTGATCCAAGTGTAGCATACCCATACTTATTTATTGCGTGTTATTTTCAAATAAAATTACACTTTTCTGCTATAAACAAATTATGCATTTTACAAATTAAGTAAGTAATATAAGTAATTCTTTTTAACTTAATAGTGAAATATTATTTTCTCTTATTATCTTAAGTCTTTTCTAAAAAAAATTCCAAATATTTTTAAAGGATAATTAGTAAATAAATCAGCCAGTCAAAGATGGGTAGTATTATTTTATTAGAATAATTTCAAACATCTTCAAATGCTTCATAATTTTGTAAAGTATTTATATGCAACATATTGTAAAAATAAAATTCATTTTCGTCAAATAACTGATCGACACACAATTAAATAAAATATTCAATGCTACTCTAAAAAATAAGAATCATATTATAAACTTATCGCTGATAATTTAGCTATTAAAAATATAAATTAGCCCATTCACATTTCTTTTACGGATGTTTAAAAAGCAGTTAAATTTGAATAGTTGTCATTACTTTTAATCTTTTGGAATTAATTTATAATTAAATGATAAATATTAATGTTAATACATAAAATCCTATTTTGTATTGTAAAACAATGAGTTACATCAAAGCATAAATGAGTAAATAGTAATGCAATCAAATTAGTTTCAAAAAAGTACCTATAAAACAAAATAATTTATACCTTATCTGACAAGTTTTTCTGATTTGAACAGAGATGGCCGGTACTTCACTCAATTCTTCATTTCTGCTTTTAAAAGGCCTTGAATAAAAAAATAATCATTCACTAAGCAATCAGGCTCAGTAAATGATATGTTGCTCACGAATTTATCGTCGAATAATTTTAATCTTTTCAACACATTCGCAGAAACATTTCGATTTCCAGTGGCACTGGAAAACTTTCAACTATAATTCAACACCTGGTGCAAGTTGAATTTTTTCAAAAGAAGCGGT